GAGAGAGAGAGAGAGAGAGAGAGAGAGAGAGAGAGAGAGAGAGAGAGAGAGAGAGAGAGAGAGAGAGAGAGAGATTTATTCCTCCTGCTTGCGTGCCGCTTTCTGTCCCTCTGCCGTCTCGCTGTATTTAAGTTTGTTCATTTTCTACGCCATCGCCACTTCGTCGACCAGGTCCTGACCACCTACTACTCTCCCTCCTCCTCACCCCGCTCCTCCTCGTTCCATCTCTTTTTTCGTTTCTCCCCTCTTTTCACTCTCAGGATGTCCGAGGTCTCAGCCTTCTTCCCGGTAACTCCAGATTCTCACAGCCTCGAAACTGACGAACGCAATTGCATCTGCGCTCTACCATGGCGGCACCCTATCATTAAAAAGTGTATCTTTTCTGATCTTCGGTTGTACCTGCATCCGTACTTTATCTTCCGTATCTTTCAGCGTTATCCTTATCCTTAAAAAATATATCTTTGGTGGCCAGTTTGGCGGGAAACTCGTATCACTGTCATTCGTCCTGGTCGCCAATTCTAGCTCCATCCGTCCCTTTATTTCCTGTACTTGCCCTGCAGGACTTCCTGCTCTAGATTTATCCTTCGGCGTTATCCTTATCCTTAAAAAAAGTGTACCTTTGCTGGCCAGTTTGGCGGGAAACTCATATCACTGTCATATGTTCTCGACCTTGCCTGCTGGTCTCCTGTTCTAGCTCAATCTGCACCTTCATCTTCCTTACTTGCGCCGCAATAGTTCCTGTTCAGGATTTATAGTACCCTCATCCTTACCTTCATCCTTAACTTCCCCCTTCCCTCCTTCTCCGTCTCTTCCTTTCCTTGTCCTTCCTGCTCCTCTCCCTCCCTCGGTGCCTCATCCCTTCCTCCCCACCTTATTCCCTCGTCGTACTTTTCCTCCCTCCCCTTCTCCCTTCGGCCCTCACTCCATCTCTTCCTCTCTTTTCCTCTCTATCTACCTCTCCGTCTCTTCCTCCCTCCCTCCCTCCCTCCTTCCGTCTCTTCCTCTCTCTTCCTCTCTCTTCCTCTCTCTTCCTCTCTCTTCCTCTCTCTTCCTCTCTCTTCCTCCCTCCCTCCCCGTCTTTCTCCCTCCCTCTTCCTCTCTACGTATCTTTTTGTGCCTCTCTACATATCTTTCTATGCCTACATCTCTGGCACCTAGACTGAAGCAGGAGGCTGCAATCCTCTCTCTCTCTCTCTCTCTCTCTCTCTCTCTCTCTCTCTCTCTCTTCACGTGCAATGGGTCATTCGATCTCAGATACAAATGGAGCCATCGTCTTTGCCAATCAGTGTCTCGTTTGACATGCGTCCACGTGGTGTCTCGATAGGAAGCGACGAATGGCATGGTCTCAGCGTCCACGTGTTCTGGTGAGCTCCGCCCCTCACGTTTCCTCAGTGCTCACCCAACTCAACCCGTCTCCTAATGGATTGCAGCTCACATACCTCACAACCAATCATCATTGCATGAATTAAGTTTGCCTACTAGTAGTGTGCGACGCAGATTGCATGCACGCTTCTTGTCATGACGCACGTTGCCTTTTCCTGCTCTTATCAGCGAACGACGTGCAGGGGAGCTGCTTCGCTAGCAGTTTATTTCCGCCACTTGTCGTGATGCTTTCTCTGTTCAAGACTTCTTACTGCTGCACCTCATTGTCATGATTGCTTCTGCCTCTGTCTCCTCCTCCTCCTCCTCCTCCTCCTCCTTGTCAGCGAAAGGGAGAGTCGATTTTCTACTTCCTTTCTCCTCGTACTCGCTTTTCGAATCCTCATCTTCTCAGTGGCATGTGCAAGATCCTCTTGCCTAGCTTGTGGAATCGGTTAGGAGGGGAAGAGCGAACGATAATCCTCATTGAATTGGGAAACACACAAAACAACCGGGGAGGCATGGTGAGGGTAAATGGCTGACTCTCCCCCTAGGGGGGTTGATCACAAGTCCGTGAGATATCACCTGGTAGTCCGACGCTGTCTGTGCAAAGAGAAAGCATGAACGACAAAAGATATCTCAAGGACTTGTGATCGACGCCCCTTTCTTTTTGCAAAGACAGCCTCTGCCAGGTGCCTACCATCTCACCGATGCCTGAACTCAGAATATACCACGCTGAAGCTCTTCTTGGCAAGCACCCGAATAGAGCGCTCGGTCATCCTCCTCCTCCTTGCCACACTCTTCTCCCTACGGTTTTCCTCCCTGTTGTCTTCCTCCCTATGGTATTCCAATGGTCTTCCTCCTCCTCCCGGTATGTCCCTTGCCACAATCTTCTCCCTATGGTCTTCTTCCTCCTCCCGTCTTCACCCGAATAGAGCGCCCGGTCATCATAGCTGTATTGTGGTACAAATTGCAGTCCAGATATGGCCATTATTACCGGGCGCTCTATTTGGGTGAAGAGGGTAGGTTCTCCTTTCCATGTGGAACATCCACCTTCCAGGCGCCCAGCCCAGCTATGGATGGCGCTCCGGGCTGGCACTCTCGACCGCTTGCCAGCACTTGGAGCTGCCTCCCAGGCACACGTCTGCCTCAGCAGCACAGCTCTGTCTGCCAACTCGCAAAAGATCCCCAGACTTCTCCGGCCACTCCCTCTATGCCAGGCTGGGATCTGGGCAGACCTTGAGGCACTGCCTTCTGGTACCTTTCAGAAACAGATGCGGCCTGTAGGGATCCCAGCTACCTGGGGCTGGTGCCCTGGCCTGCCTGACCCTGGCCATTTTCCAGAACAGGCTGGGCGGGCAACATTTTCCACAGATGGGCCTCCGCTTCGGGTCGTGCCAAAACTTGTATAGACCGGGCGCCCACTTAGGGCCCTGCCAAATTGCACCTGGGAGCCCTCCGTGGCCTCGCACTGTGGGTGAATATTGGTTAAAACCCAGTGACGAAAAGTGTGGCATGGTTGTTAAAAAAACTTCGAATTAAAATGGTTAAAATGACCGAAAAATCAAAATGGTATATAGTATCTACTGGTGGTGGTGTTAATGTGATAATTGCTATGTATGCATGCTATGTGTGCGGAGTGGGTTAAAACGGCTTAAACGTATAAAAATGGCATTTAGTATGTGGTATGTACTGGTTGTGGGGATAATGTCATCAACTTCTTGTTATGCATGCATGCTATGTGTCGGGGTGCAGGCACACATGAAGCGGAGTGACAAATGGTTTGCGGTTATCTCATTGGGAAGACAAGCTTTCAAAACAGACACCAGTACAACGTAAGGCACACTCTTGTGTTCAATCAGTGTGTGTGTGTGTGTGTGTGTGTGTGTGTGTGTGTGTGTGTGTGTGTGTGTGTGTGTGTGTGTGTGTGCCTCTGTTCAACTGCCCGTGATTCTCTCTCTCTCTGTGTCTCTAGCTCTCTCTGTCTCTCTCTTTCTCTCTATGTTTGCCTGTTTTTTTGTCTGTCAATCTGTAACCTGTCTGTTTTGTTTTCAGCTCTGCCAATCTGCATTTGTCTTTCTGTTTCCAACTTGCTAGTTCTTTCTTCTCTGTCTTCTGCTCTGTGTTTATAACTTCAGCTCTCATTTGTGCCTGTATGCATCTTGCTTCACTTCCCTGCGTCTTTCTGCGTTTCTCTTTTTTCTTGGTTGCATATCTTTGTTACTTCCTTCCTGATCTCTTGTGCGATTTTGTGCTCTGTCTCTTGCAGTTCGTTTGTCTGTCTGTTTGTTGTCTTGGTTCGGCTCCCGTCCTTCCTGCTCCCTCCCCCTCCCCCTCCCCCTCCCCATGTCGATCTATCCTCCATCCCTTCCCTCTCGTTTCCGCCCCCTCTCTTCTTTTGTATCTGGCCCTCGCCCTCCTGCCCACTCGTCCTATCCACTCAATCTACCCACCCTCCCTCCCTCACCTCTCATTTATACCCTCCCTCCAGCTCTCTCTTCTGCTCTGGGTGTGCCTCTC